TATTGAATTTTGGAAGAAATTCCTAATGTGTCTTTTCACCCCAGTAATAAAGATGCAGGAAAACTTACTTCCTGTTCCCTGTGGACCTCCCTGTTTGTTTTCTTCACTTGTGCAGGCTGTTTAGCCTGGACCTCCTGTTTATAATGTTCATTACACTTGTAGTTATCTTTTTAAAAATTTCAGAGTTTGATCTTTTAAATGATTTAAATTTCAAGATGCACCTCTAAATATCTCATAATGCCAATTATACCTCAGTAAATATCAACATAAGGTTTATCAGTTGTGACAAGTATACCTCTTTGGTGAGGGGTGTTGGTAATGGGGAAGAACAGGCATGAGCTGGGTATTGAGCGTATGGAAAACCTCCTTTCAGTTCTTCTGTGAACCTAATGTGCTCTACAAACAAAGTCTTCACAAGAAAAAACAAAAAAACACATTGTAGCATGCCCTGCCTCAGGAAATCAGGTGTATAAGAGTACAGCCATTTAAAACCTAGTGCTGCACTTGCCTAGCAAGTGTGAAGCCATGAGTTCAAACCCTGTACAACCAAAAACAAAAAAAGTATGTAAAACCTAGTACAGGCCAAGTCTTGAGGAGGAGTAGATGACCCGTCTTAGTGTTGCCTCATAAGCCCAACAAGCACCAGCCTGTTAACACGAGAATGCCGCTCACTGTGTGCACTGACCACAGAAACTAGTTTTGGAATAACTCTAGGATTTTCTACTCTATAATGCATATGCCTTTTTAAATTTATTCTGATAGAATAAAAATTGGGGTCACTTTTTTTTTTCTTTTTCTTTTTGGCAGTACTGGGGTTTAAACTCAGGGCCTTACACTTGTCAGGCAGGTGCTCTACCACTTGAGTTATACCATCAACCCTTTTTGATTTCATTATTTTTGGAATAGGGTGTCACTTTTATGGCCAGGCCAGCCTGACTGTGATCTTCCTATTTATACTTCCTGTATAGCTGGAATAACAGACATGCACACAGTACCTACTTTTCTTTTAATTGGTTGAGATGGGGTTTCACAGACTTTTTGCCCCAGCTGGTCTTAAATAGTAATCCTCCTAATCTCTGCCTCCTGACTAGCTAGGATTATAGGAGTGAGTCACTATGCCAGCTTTTGTCAACGTTTGATTATTCAGATTTATAATTTAAAAGGTACAAAAGTGTTAGCACTTTACATTTTCTGTATTAATTTTATAACCATTAGCTAATCAAAATATTTATTGTGTTTTGTTTATAACTATTCTAGTGTAACATACATGCTAAGCAGTACAAATCATAAGTATGTTTAATAAATACTTATATTTCAATGTATTATAATTGAGCACAGCCATATAGCCAATACCCAATCAAGACCAAAACATTATCAACAGCCCTGAAGCCCTGCATGCTTTAATATATCCTTTAGTTACCATCTCTAGCCAAAGGTGACTTCTCAAGATTATTTGTATGTAATTTTAATTGAACACTAAATTCAGTCAGTAAAAGAATTTTATCCTTAAGGATGTTGATAATTGGTAATTAAGAATAAAATTTCTTAAATGATAAAACATAAAAAGAAAAAAAAAGAATAAAAGTTCTTGGGGCTGAGGGTGTGGCTCACATGGTAGAGTGCTTGCCTAGCAAGTGCAAAGCCCTGAGTTCAAATCCTAGTACCACCAAAAAAAGTTTTCTTGGAGGAAATAGATAGAACTTAGAAGGAATATTGTATCTTGTTATATCTGGTATAAATCCATCTTAGCATAGTGTATGTCAAAGATGACTTAGTCACATTACTCCTATATTTTGTTTTTCTGTGAGATCGTTTTGTGTTGGCTCATGTTAAGTTTATATATCCAGTCACATTCATATTTATTCCCAGGCAACAGTACTACTTTTGTACTTCTAAATTTCTCTTCTCGGTGTTCATTACCTTTAAGGGAAGAGTTTGATTCTAGACTATTTGCAGCAGTCTTCATATAAGCAGTTCGATCAAATTTTAAACTGCCATTAGTGTTGGCCTACATCATTCTATTGACCATCATTTTTCTACTCTGTCTTTTTAGTTTGTAGTCGACTAACAAGCTGTATTTGTTGAGCACCAACACAGTATAGAGCATCCTGCCAGGTTATTAGAGGATATTAACCAGGAGTATAAGATATGAACCTCGTCCCCTAGGAATTTAACAGTACTGCATGGTGCCAGAATGGCAGACTTTGGAGCCAGACTTCTTAGATTTATATCCAAATCCGTCACTCCCTACCTGTGTGATTTTGGACAAGATATTTACACCCCCCCCATCTTTTTTTTTTGATGGGACTGAGGTTTGAACTCAGGCCTTCAAACTTAACAAAGCAAGTGCTCTACCACTTCAGCCACACTTGCAGTCCATTTTGTTTTGGTTATTTTGGAGATGGGATCTGGCTTCCAATTGCCATTCTCCTCCCAAGTAGCTAAGATATTTAATCCTTTTGTGTCCCATTTTCTTCAAGAGAAAAAGCTAATAAGAATACTTATGCCATCTAATACAGAAGCCTTAAAGTGACAGAGGTCCATATGAAAAGGGGATCAGGAACTTGTGAAAAGGTCAGAGATGAATCAATTTGGGTTGTAACACATTTGTACATGGAAGCAATGCTAGGAATCTCTCTGTATAGCTATCCTTAACTCAACTAGCAAAAACGCTTTGTCTTTCTTATTATTGCTTATGTTTTCTCTTCAACAAGAATAGAGACAAGGACAGAACAGGTTCTGCCTGGAAGCGAGGAGGGAGTGGGGGGAGAGAGAGGGGAGGGGGGAGGGGGAAGAAGTGGCCCAAACAATGTATACAGATGTGAATAAATGAATAAAAAAAAAAAAAGAATACTTATGCCATAAAATTGTATGGTGTATTAAAGGATATTAATATGTGTGAAGAATTTGGAAGTGTTCCTGGCAGTTCAAATTAAGTTTTAGCCACTGCATTAATCCTCATAGAGATCATAGATCAAACCCTGAAATCAGGAACAATGTACACATAATTAAATTCAATAATGAATGATGAAAACAAATCTAAGCATTTCAGATCAGTACTTAAATTGATTACCTCTTTCATATGCTATCCTGCCTCTATGATATCAGAGTCCCAGGCTGTCATGAACCAACTTACAGCCTTTGTTCAGAAATGGAAAACAAAAAGAATCTATAAAAATTAAGAACTTTAAAGGAAACTTTGAATAAAGCTCCCAAGTATGTCTTTTTGTAGTCCTTCCCCTCTTTTCAGTTTAGGATGCCGCTCCCCACCTTCAAACCTGTCTGGTTCTATTTACTTTGTGTTCTGTATTGCCTGAATGTTTGGCAAAGACTTGAGTGAGCAGCACTCTCATTTATCCTTTAGGTAAGGTACTCAAATCCAATGAGTCAAGTCATATGTATCTTAGTATTGCAGCATATTCTTTTTCCTTGAGTATCTGGGCAGAAATCAGAGACAATGAAAAAAAAAAAGGGGGGGGGAATTTGTTGTTTGGGAAAGATAGGAGTAATTCATATAGATTTTACCCCCTCTTTAAATACAGATTTTTAGTGAGCTGTCAGGCAACATGACATCACTGGGGATAGGAGAAAGGGACAACGAAGTGGTGGGATGTCAAAACTTCTCTCTTTTTTTAAGTGTTATCTATTAGTATTAATTCACCCATATTATTTGAATGAATCAAGCGTTTTTTTTTGGAATTCATCCCCTTTGTAAATGACATAAACAGTAATGGCTAGGTAAATTCAGAAGAGGATTTTTTCATTGAGTGTTGTAAGAGAGGAATGAGTAATTGGGGAAAATAGGGCTTAAACTGTATAATCCTTTTTACTAATTGAATAGTGGGAAAATGAAGAGGTTAAAGGTGTGTAGCTAAGGGCAAGTTTGATGTTGGAACTAAAGCGGAAAGCAGTAGAAGATGAGATTGACCAAGTGTTACTTTAGCAATCCAGTTGGAAAGTCTGGGTACTTTTCTTAGGGAAGAAATAGTTTTCTTCACTGCTTACTATCTTATACTACAAATGTGACTCCAAGTTATCCTCCTTTTTCAGGAACTAATTTTGTGACTTTTCACACTTCAAAGTGTAGACTAAAGGGAGTTTTCATTTATTTTTATAGAACTTGAAATAATAAATTTGAGAGATTTTGCACTCTGAAAATCATTGTAGGTAACAGAATCTCCTAGTGATATATGATGCTGCAGCCAACTCTGTAGTAAACATTGCAACAATGCATTCTGTAGGCCTGGAGTTTTGAAGAAGAAAATCTTCACAGTACTCTGTTTTTAAGTATAGCCTAGGATGGACCCATAATCTTAATCCCTATCTACTATTTTAGTTCATTTTATGGATGTAAAAGATAGTGTTTTCTCTTATTTGTGATATGGTATGGAAGGTAAATGGAGACAATAAGAGAAACATCACTGAAACCTTTCCAAAAACACATTCTGTAAAGCAAAACTAACTATTTAAAATTTCTATACATTTTCAGGGGAATTTATGAAAGAGGGGTTGTGTGTGTGTGTGTGTGTGTGTGTGTGTGTGTGTGTGTGTGTGTGTGTGTAGTGAGAAATTTAGACTGCCTACCATATGCCACAGTTTTTAGTTATTTAGAATGAATTTTTTTCCTGAGTGATGTCTGGTGGTAATATAAAGTACAAATTAAGATTTATAAATCTGATTTTTAAAAAGAAATTCTTATCTATATTTAATATTGATAATTGGCCCCAATGTAAATCCTTGTAAGACTTGTGACACTTAAATACCCATTGTATCTGTTCCAGTGGCTGCGACATCTAGTTGAATTTCTCTTTAACATTGTGATTTAGCATGTAATTTCACAAAGGGTTTTTTTTTTAAATATAATATGTTTGCAGTCAAGTTGAACAGTATCTTCAGATTAATAATTTCAGTAATAGAAAGGTTTGTGTGAATATTTTTTTATTTCTAAATTCACCATTTTGATACAAATACCCATGGTTTTCTTCTGTGTTTACATGCAGCCAGGAGCTATGGGCGGAGACGAGGTAAATTTTTTTTTAAATGAGATCTTTTGCTTGCCATCATTGTGAGTAAATATGAGTGTGTGGTGTATGTGTGTGTTTATATCTGTGTGTGTAAAACAATTACTGTATGGTATGATGTTCTACTTTCATTATTTTAGCAAAGTAATTCTTACTACTTTCATTGTAATTGCTTTTTTGCTGTTTGTTGGTAATTTGTTCTTTTAATACTAATATGGCAAAGATTATTTCTACCTTGGAATTTTTGTTGTATGGCTTATTGTGAATGAGCGTGAGGAAGTAAAGGCGAAGTGTACGTATTTTTTTGCTCTGTATCCACTATGTTCTTTTTATGTGATTTAGAAGGTAGAGGCTTGGTTTTGGAAGGCAATGCTTTTTTTTCTTTAAATTAGCATATTTCTCCAGGCACCAGTGGCTCACAGCTGTAATCCCAGTTTCTTAGGAGGCTGAGATCAGAACAATCATGGTTGAAGGTCAGCCCAGCAAAAAGTGAGACCCCATGGGGGTGGTAGCACATGCCTATTATCTTAATGACAGCAGGAAGCTAAAATAGAAGGCTCATTGTCTAGGGCAGCCTGGGCAAAAATGAGACCTTGTCTCCAAAATAACCAGAGCAAAAAGGGCTGGAGATGTGGCTCAAGCAGTTGATCACTTCCCTAGCAAGTGCAAAGCCTTGAGTTCAAACCCTAGTATAAAAAAATTAACATATATTAATTGTACGGGGTTGCATTGCAATTACTGATCTTACTAGGTTGGCTGATGACTTTTTTTTTCTGTTACATCCAAAGGCAAATTTATCCTAAAACTAAATTAAGCTTAAATTTTCAGGGGCCATCACTTGAATGGGCCCCTTCCAAACTGTTCACCTGTAGTTTTTGTGTTCTTTTTCTTAAAGAGGTACCTCAAAATCACTTTAGTCCCTGTAATATCTGCATTCTCTCCTAGTAACACCTAAACAAAATAATAAAACATTTATTTATATAATGCTATCACTTCTCTAAAGCATTCCCACATCTGTAATTTTTTCAAATAATGTTACAAAATAGCTAGGGGAAGCCTACAGTAGGGAAATACCTAGGTTATAATCACTGCCTTATTGCTTAGATCTGGTTACCTCATTTGTAAATTATGAGGTAATAAAACCAGTCTTGTCCAATAAATTTTTTGTCTTTCTTCTTCTTCTTGTTATTCTTTGCTGTGCTAGAGATTGAATTTAGAACTTCCTACATTCTAGGCAGTTGTTCTACCACTGAGCTTCATCCCCAGTCTTGCCTTATTTTAAAATTTAAGAAGTTAAAGCCTAGAAATATTATTAACACTATTTTATACCATACTTTCTTTCAAATTGCTGGAAATATGATCACTGCCAGGATGGAATAGGCAATGAACCATTTTAAATGAAAAATAGAGACTATCTGGAGAGTAGAGAGCAGGGTCTGGCTGGCCTTTCCTCTTCTCTCCTCTCCTTGTAGTAATCAGTCACCAGATCTTGTGAGGATTTCCCCTATAGTTCCTCAGGTCTTGTCCTTCTCATGTGTACTGTATTCTTTTCTGCCTCCTCATGTTTCTGAAACACAACTGTCCATGTCATCCTCATTCTCTGCTCAGGTTTTTCATGATCTGGTCCCTTCCAGTTTCACCAGCTTCTTCATGTCCAGTTTTCCCCCACCTCATCCTCCTCTACTCTATGTGCTTTCCAAGTATTGACCATCCATCCTCATCTACATCTTAAGAACTAATCTTATTTCACTAGTTCAGGCCAAATTCTAGTCTCATCCATTTTAGGAAGCCTGTACAGTGACCTTGCAGACAGTGTTTTCCCTACTTCTGATGCCTTACATTCTTCCTGTCTTTTCTGTATGCCCTGATTCTTCAACCAGAGATAAGTTCTTTGAGAACAGTTGCCTCTTGTGCTTAACATTTTGCCCCAGGTACAGTTAGCCCTTATTAAATGCCTATTGGTTAGGATCATTTTGAAATAATATCATCATTTCTCTGCAGAACAGAGGTTTGGTATCATATTTTTTAAGAAAATTATTTTATTAGCTAGGCACAGTGGTGAGGCAGGAGGATTGCTTGAGGTAGTCAACTCCTGCCCCCCTACCCCCATGAGCAACAAAGCAAGATCCTGTCTCTTAAAAAAAAAATGATTGGGAAGGGGGAGGGTGAAGGAAGGAGATTAAGGTAATGGAATAGGGTAGATGGACTTCATATGCCTGTATGAAACAGAACTAAGAAACCTCTTGCAATTGCTTTAAGTGGGATGGGGAGAGGGCTGAGGGGGAGAGACAATGGGGCAGATGTAACTAGTGTTACATTATTAGTGTATAATATAAGTCTAATCAAAATTATCACTACAAATCCCCCCCCATATAGAATATATTCTAATAAAAATTTTATTTTAAAAATTACTTAATTTTTATAACTAATGACATGTCAGATGTTAAACATAAAGAATATAAAATCACCTGTAGTTTCTAACCTCCTGAAAAATTGCTCTTTTTTCATATTGCCTTCTCCATATCTGTTTTTAAAGTTTGACTTTATCATTTTCAGATGCTATGATTTCTTTGTATCAAATGCTATATACTAAGTAGTGCCTAGAATGACTTGATGCCTGCTATCCGTAAGTCTGCAGTTTGGTAGTTGTAGATTAAGAAGGGAATGAGGGGGATAGAGGAAAGAAACACTGAAAGACTGAATGATAAGTAGTGGCAGGCGAAATGTTTAGTTCATGCTATCATTTAGTCTTTCATCCCCAAAGCTGAAAAAGGAGAAAGACCGTCATCCTTCAGTATCACGATATAGCCATATGGGATTGGGCAAGTGTACCTCATATCTACCACTCTCTTCCCTCACATACACTTATGTGGGCCCACTCTGCATAGTATAATTTTGATGAACTGACAGATGCCTCTTGCTCATTTATTCATGGAAGAGATTCTTCATCTCTTTCTTCAATTAACATCTAGACTTGCTCAAAAAAGTCTAAAAAGTAAACAGTGCTGTATGTTACTTTATGATTAAGAATAGAACTTTAGCTATAACTCATGTTCTGTGTGTTACATACACATGTTGGTACATTTTTTTAGGACTAGGAAGTAATTAGAATATATGTGAAAGTTTTGAATGCTGTCACCAAGAATTAGACCAGGAGAATTTTATACCTTTCCTGATAAATCTAGAAGAGCTTCGTGAGTAAAGAGAATTTCAGGAACTATTTGGAAAATGGAAGAGTAGTGAGAAGCAAGGCATTCTAAGTGATTCAACTTAGAAGAAAGCTTGGAGTGAGACTGGCACGACCAGATGCTTACAGCATATGTCCGTGGTTGTATGCATGGGACCAACTGGAGAGAAGTAGTTGGCAGTGGAATGCTCTATGCTGTCTTGATGAATGGCTTTTGAAACTGAGGGTGAGACTCTTGGACACAGATACACCAGTCTTTTGAAAAAGGGCTTCACGATGCAAGTAATGAACTTTGCAGCTCAGTGGTAGGTACTTGCCTAGCATGTGTGAGGCCCTGGGTTTAATCCCCAGCACTGCAAAGAAAAAATGTGCATTAGGTGTTTGCATGTCTACATTGTACTAGACTCCAGACATGGTCTCTCACCTTACTCAGTGTCAGACAATGAATAAACGAAACAAATATTTTTATTCTTGAAAGTTGAGATAAGTCAGGCATTGGTGGGTTATGCCTATAATCCTAGCTACTCAGGGGGCAGATATCAGGAGAATCAAGGTTCAAAGCCAGCCCTGGCAAATTGTTTGGGAGACCCTCTTACAAAAATACCCAACACAAAAAAGGGCTGGTTGAGATGCTCAAGTGGTAGAGTGCCTGCTTAGCAAGCATGTGGCCCTGAGTTAAATCCCAATACAACCAAAAAAAAAAAAAGGTTGAGATAAGTACTAGGGAAGAGTGGAGGATTCCCTTTAAGGTAGGGAGGTCACTGCTAAAGAGGTGATATTTAAAGTGAAGCTTAAAAAAAAAAAAAGATGCTCAAAGGATAGAGAGATAGCTTTCTTAATTAAAAAAAATTTTTTAATTTGAGACAGGGTCTCACTATGTAGCTCAGGCTCACCTCAAACTCAGTATAGCCTAGGCTGACCCCAATCTCATGATCCTCTTCCCCCTGCCTTCTGAGTGCTAGAATCACAGGTATGGCCATCACTCGTCCCCTTAATTTCTTTTTAATCGTGGAAATTTTGAAACATACACAAATCTGGACTAGTACCTATCACTTAGCTTCAGTGATTATCAGCGTCTTTGCCAGTATTGATTCTTGTATTCTCTCCTTAGAATGTTTTAAAGGAAATTATAGACATAACAACTATTTTAAAAGGGGGAGGGGAAAGGAACTGCATATGTAAAAGGCTTGAGACAAAGTAGTGATAAAAGCTTCAACATAGATAAACCTTGAAAACATTATGCTAAGTGAAAGAAGCCAGTCACAGAAGGTCACATATTGTATGATTTTATTTTTATGTACCGTGCAGAATAGAAAATACTGAGACAAAAAGAATAGGAAAATACTTTCCTATGGATTGAGAGGTTTGGGGGACCTAGGTTAAATAGATGTATTGTATGACATGTGAATCATGCTTCAAGAAAGCTGTTATTTATTTTTTTTTAAAGAAGGCTTGAGGCAAGAAGGGACACTCACTTTAGAATGGCTGGAACTTGGTGGGTGTCTTAAAGGAGTTTGGACGAAGACAGAGAATGTGATCTTGCTAGCTTTAGCTGCTGGAAGATTTTGAGCTTGCTCCAAGTACAAGAGGAAATCTTTGACGCTTTAAAGCAAGGTGAAGGGATTGAATTTACATAAAACAGCTCTCTGGCTGCTGTTTGGAGAGGTGGGGGAAGAGAAGTGTGTTGCCTAATTAGGAGATATCAGTCTAGGCAAGAAATAATGGAAGTTAGAATAATGATGGTAGTGAGGTTGGAGGGAAGTGAATGAATTAAAGATATATTCTAGAGAAGACAAAACAGTAGGATTTAACAGGT